TCAAATGCACCAAGAATCCGTCCAAATAAAAGCAATACAATGAACTCGTGAGCCGAAGTTCAAGCCCTCAGGCCACACCAGCATAGCATTCAATGTAGCTCCTCTCTGTTTGGCGCCCAACACCCAGCCTATCCTACTTGTCCTATCTATCCTACCTACGTTCATGCAATAGGCTATATTTCGTCAAAGGTTTGTCAGAGGTTCGTCAAGTTGTTAGAAGTTGTCAGAAGTTTTTTTGTAGCCAAGGCCTGGTAATGGCTCTGGCATCTCATTTTTCTCCTATTAAAACCTAACAGGACATCTTGTGGAGCTTTTGGGGACCTGCTTTGAAGTAAGGGGCCAGGGGCATCAAATGATTCTTTACAAGGACGGAGAGGGGGAGGAAATAGGGTTGCTCGATGGGTACCGGCTAGAGGGGCCTCTTATCAGACGCGATCGGCGTCAGGTAGTTTAAGCTGGCTGATTGGTACCGGCTGCTGAGAGGGAACCCTGGCGCGATTGGCGTTGGGTAGTGCTCGTTCACCACCTCGACGACGGAGACTGGGATTCTTGTGGGGGCAAAGAATGTCAGGGTGATGATGGTGCTCGACCCCCGCGGAGAAGAGGCTCTCTGAAGTTCTTCATGACGACGGAGTTGGGAAGGACTGAGGTGATTGGGAAGGAGGAAGTTGGTAGTGGATGCGATTGGCGCTGAAATTTCGGCGGGTACCGGCCACTGGCCGCTAACTTCACCCGGATCAGTGGAGGCAGGATTGTTCTGCAGGGCTATTTTTCCAAAAAGAGGTTGAGTGGGTTTAATATATGGTTGGATATCAAGCGTCCTACTAGTGAGGGGGCTAGCTTGTAGGATGGAAATAGGGCACAGCAGCAATGGAGATGGTGGCTCTGCTGCAGCAAGTCTTGCTGGAGTAAGGTAAAGAGGATATGATGGGGGGTTCTCTGAGTTGTTTTCTGAATTTTGCCTATTTTGAAGCTTCCGTAGTGATTTTCTCAGTACATCAAACTCTTCTTAGCCCCTGGATCCTAAATTTTCAAAAATTTTTCAAAATTCTATGTCAACTTTCATATGGGACGCTGGGCCCGGTTCCCAGCACGTGCTGCTCCCCACAAAAAAATTGGAGCCTTTTTCCCAAAAAAAAAAAAAAAAAAAAAAAAAAAAAAAAACAGGCTCACTTCGACTTCGAAGACCACTGTCGTCAACACCGATGTCGATCTCCCACATAAACCAGGTATGTATCCTCACCTCCCCTCATCACCCCTATGTCACCCACTTTTGCGCCTCCTCCCAAAGACCTCTTGTCGCCCTCATCTGCCTCGCGCCCTGCACACCGGCTATGGCCGCTAGCGTCGTGCTGCCCCTGCAGCGCCCTCTCCTCTCAGCGCGCCCGCGCGCCCCAGCCCAAGCTAGCGCATGCAAACACTCGCTTGCTAGCGCAGCAGCGTGTCTGCAATGCCAGCATTGGCCAGAATGCCCAACTCTTGCTAGCCTCCTCCCTATATGGGAGAGGTTACTGCTGCTGGACTGTGTGAGCCTGGCCGTGGAAGTTTCTAGTAGCTTCCAGTCGAGCTCTAGTGTCTGCGCCCAGGCCTCCTTTGATAGTTACGGGCCTGGGCCCTTTTTTTGTTGGGCATGCCCAGAACTTTCCAAGCTTTGAATGTTTGCTGCATTTGCACTGGCCCACGGGGCAGATACGACGACAATGCTGCTTTCTTGTTGACCCGTGGCCATTTCGCGAGTGTCGGCCTCTCAATGTGTGTGCCCAGGGCACAACCACCCAGGCCCTGGGCTCAACTGAATGGCGCAGTTGCTTCTTCCGAAAGAGCTCAGGGTAAGGCCCAGGTTGCTCTTCAACCAATTGTCTCGCAGCAACTGTCTGAGACCCGTATTGGAAAATGCTGAGATAAGGGCCTCTCGTGGACATTTAGGCCCGCCTTCACTTAGGGCGGGCACGACGCTTGCTAGGGGCCACACTAAGAACATATGCATGTTGTCTAAGGGCTCTGAGGACACATTCCTCACATTCCATCCTCCATAGCTTCAAATGTCCGCTGAGATGCGTCTATACAGGTGCCTTCCCCTTCAACTTTCTTTCATAATTTGCCACAATCTGAGGTGTTGTTTCAATAAGTTCCTCTCTGGTGAACCATCGATCTTCGTTTGGATCCATTTGATGCTTGAATTTGACCCTATATTCCTTCTTGGGTTTTGGTGGTCATCCTCTGCCCACAGGCTTAGGAACAGGCGTGTCTCTGTGCTCCAAAATGTCGTCGACGCCCACGTGGCCATCCATGGTTGGGGGCAACATAGATCTCCTTGATGGGAATTGTTGTGTCTCAGCAAAAGGTGCAAGCTTTGAGGCGTGAAACACAAGGTTAGTGTGCAGGTGATCAGGGATTCGAATCACATGCGAGGGACCATCTTTTTCACTACCCACAATATCCCAGACTTCCCAAGGAACAAAGTATCGAGGCATTAGTTTCCTAGAGATGCTAAATTCCTGCCCTAACTCACTAGACTCAACCCAGACACGTTCCCCTACCTGAAATGTGGACTGTCGGCGATGCTTGTTCTCAGAAGCAATTATTGCTTCCCGAGATTTCTTATGTGTTCGACAGCTATCTGCAGCAACTTCTCGTACTGGACATCACTTGTGAAACAGACATCTCTGTCACTAACGATAGTCTTTGGCAGTCCAAAGCCACGCACCCATTTATCCATGAATAACTTGATTTGCTCAGCCCTTATGGTCTCTGGCATGGCAATCGGTGTGGCGAACTAAGTAAACCTATCAACTATGGCGAAGATATGCCTCTTCCCACTCTTGCTGGTCACGAGGTTATCCATGAAGTCCATGGAAACACTTTGTCCCGGACCAGCAGGAATGGGTAGGGGCTTGAGTAACCCAAGCGGAGCTTGAGTTCGCGACTTGTCCCGCTGACAGACTTTACAAGTTTGAACGTACTGTTTGGCTTCGTCTAGCATTCCAGGCCACCAAAATCGTTGTACCAGATTCGCACTAGTCTTCTTATAGATTGAGTGTCCCATTGCATCGGGACATTCTCCTAAATATAAACTACACCAAATCTCACTAGCTGGAACAACCAATCTCTTAAACCCTACCTTCTCAAGGAAGAGTAACCCATCCACCATCACAAACTCATCAAATGTGGCCTTGTCTTGGGCCTCAAGTTTGCAATGATGTCCATCGTGACAACATCTTCCTTGTAGGCTTCCACCATCGATCGACTTACATCTTCAGATAAGCCAAACTCGGTAATTAGCGCACCTAGGTAGTCTGCCCTTCATAACATCGCATCAGCAACCTTGTTATACTCTCCCTTTAGATAGTCTCGCTTGAAGTCATACTGATCTATTACCTCAATCCAGCGTTTGAGTGCATTAGAG